AGTGTGACGTTTACCATATGTGTGACCTGGAGCCCTTACTTCACCTGGCACTTGAGAACAGTGTCTCCCAAGGTTTTGTGAGGATCGGTTGCAACGAGCACACTGGCTAGGCCAGTGCCTGTCACCTAGCAGGTCACCTGTGAGTGTGGGTCTCCCTCTTCCCTGTACCCTGTAAGATCTTCCTTCTTCTCACACTTTTTTTTTTTTAAACCAGGGATCAACTCAGCAACTTGTGCTTATGCACTTTGTGAACCACTGGGCTCAATACCCAGCCCTCTTTCCCACATCTCTTTTTTTTTCTGTTAAGTTTATTGGTACATTTAAAGCAAACAATACAGTTACATTTATCACTGGGATCTTGTACCTTTACATGACAGGCCTTGGTTCTCATTTTTCCCCATGCCCCTGCCCTCCCTTCACCCCCTTTGCCCTTCCCTATCTACAAAGACTTTGTTTCCATTTTTTCCTTTTTTTATATTTTTTCTTTTCCCTTATTTCCTTTCCCCTCCCCTTCCCACTTTCCCTTTAACCATTTTCTTCCTATTTCTCACTATCAATTATACCATTTGAACCTTATTTACACTTTTAGTTTCTCATACCAGAGAAAACTATTCGGTATTTACTCAAGTGTGTCCTATTTATTGCACTTAAGAGTATCGCCTCAATGTGCATCCATTTAGCTATAAATGTCTCTAGTTTCTCATTCTTTATGACTGAGTAGTACTCCATTTTTAGAAAAACCACATCTTCTTCGCACACTTCTAAAGCTGTGCATGGGGACTTGGTCCGCCCTGCCAGTGGTGGACACCTGCCTAGCAGGTGTGACCGATTCAAGGAAAAGAAATATCAGAAACTGTAAGGAAAATGACCCTCCCTGCAAATCAGCACCATCAGTCTTCAGTCCTGTTTCCTTCACCCATGCTCAGGTGCCTTAGTACCAAGTCCAGGGCTCAATTCTTCACCAGCCTTGGAGAGAAAACTATGTCATCCGTAGTCAGGGTGAAGAATAAGGAGCTAGGAAGATTAGAAGCCAGGTTATCCCAGCAGACCTGGGATTTAGAAACAGGGTGGGGGCTGTATGTCTAGTGATAAATTTTCCTTTGTTTAGTAAATGCAGCAGCCTGGAGTCAGAGGTGCCCCAGGGGCTCCAGGCCTCTGAGACTCAAAGAGATCAAAGGGATCAGTGGGGAGGGTCCACTGCTCAGAGGATCCTCTCCACTGCCTGTTTTAAATCTTCTGTCAGTATCCGGCAGTGTCTTCTTCCATGATAGATGCTGTCAATAAAATGGAGTGTAAACCATTATTTTAAATTAGAAAATTAGGCAATTGTAGCACACCACGCAGGAGTCACTTTAAGTTTGGGGTTTGATGGGAGAGTTTTTGAGTTGGAGTCAAGCTGATGTTCCCGAGGCTGATCTCAAACTCCTAGGCTCAAGCAATCCTCCTGCCTCTTTCCATTAGTGCTGGGCAACAGGCAGGTGCCATCACACCAAGCTAGGGACTTTTAAAACATGGGACTTAACTGTAACGTCCAAAAAATGTTGGCAAGTCAGCCTGGGATTCCATTTCTGAGCTTTCTGCTTGCTGGCTTTGAGCCGACATTTTTCCTGTATGAGTCTCTCTTCTTTGAAAAAAGAGTGATGGCTCTCTTGGTTTTTACAGAGTAGCAAATACATTTTATATCATGATCTAGTACACACGTAAATTATGCTGGTCCTGATCCTTTATCTGCAATTCCATAGACTTCAGCTCCATGTTAACCTCACACTTTCTTGGTAATCAGTGGGGCAGTAACCCTGGCCTCTTTACTGGCCTGAGACTATTTACTGCCTTGACTGTCTCATTTACTATGAAGACCCATTTCTTTCACTGTCAAATCAGAAATGGATTTGACTACCAGCATTGGCTAGTAATACTCTATGGTTGTTCTGTATTCCCTCTATGAAAGATTAAAAACTATATTTAATTGTATATTTAAAATAACTATTAGAGAGGATTTTGAGTTTTCTCAGCCCAAAGGAAATGATCACCGCTTAAGGTGATAAGGCGCCAGTTTCCCTGAAATACCACACCATACCCCATAAATATATGAAATTATTTGTGTGTCCATTTAAAATAGAAAATGAAAAAAATTTTTTGTTGTTTTCTTGGTACCAGAGATCGAACTCAGGACCTTACACTTGCGAGGCAGGCAGTGGCACCACTGAGCTAAATCCCTGGCCCGTGAAAAATATTTTTAATATTTTAAAAGATGAAACTTCTGAATTTCAAGGCAATCTAGGTCCCAGTGTTTCTAGATAATTACAAGATATGCATAAAATATAGGAAATGTGATTAAAAATACAGCGAATTAAAAACGTTTGCAAGAAATTTATTAGAGTCAAAAACACATTGCAATTAATCTCTTTCAAAACACTCCCATTGCTTCAAACACACTTGTCCTGCCACCCACCATTCTTGCCACTTTCTGAAGCCGTTCTGGGAGTCATCTTACAGCTGAATGAATTCCGTTGTGCGGGCCTGTCTTCCTTGGTGTCCTAAATGGATCCAAACCATTTCACTTTCTTAGTCAATTTGACTTTGAAGAAGAGGCAGCCTGGCCCCAGATCTGGTGAAGAAGGTGGGAGAGGATGCATGGTAATGATTTTACAAGCCGGCCTTTCCGTTGGACGGCACTCAGCAGCAGCATTCACTGTAGCTTAACCACACTCCATGAAGACACTAATGAAGGAGGATCTCTGCTCTTCTATTGTAATAATTTTTAAAAATTAAAAAATTCACTATATTTATCGATCATCCTAGGTATGTATTTAAAATAATTCACAAAAAAATACACAGCCAGTCTATGTCCAATACATTCTGATATTGTCAGTTATATTTCCTTTTAAAAAGTGCCACTCTTGACCTAAACTAATCCCAGAACCCACCGTTGGGTCGGAGGTCACATTTAGGAGATGCTGGTACACAGAATTTGGCTCACAATAAGTTGTTGGCAGATGGAAGCCATCGTTGGCGCTGTCACTGTCTGAAAGCTCTATGCACTTAAAAACAATCAACTGATTTTAAACAATTTATTTCTGAGGAAAGCACTATGGTACCGCTGGCCACGATGACATACGCCTGTAATCCCAGCTACTCAGGAAGCTGAGAGAAGAGAAGCTCAAGTACAAGGCCAATCCGGGCAGCGTAGCAAGACCCTACCTCAAAATAAAATAAAAAGGGCTGAGGATGTGGCTCAGGAGTAGAGCACGACCCTAGTACATGTAGAGCCCTGGCTTTTGTTCCAAAAATAAAAATAAAAAATACCACAGCAAGTCTTGTTGAATTAGTTATGTTGTGCTGCTACAGAACATCACAGGCTGGTGGCTGGAACAAAAGCCCTCATTTGGCTTTGCCTATTTGTCTTCCTTTTGGCCCCATTTCCAAGCACAGTGGCTGGGTTAGGGCTTTAACATATGAATGTGACAGGCACAGTTCGGTCCATAACACTAGAGACGCCATCAAAAGTTTCCATGTGACAACTGCTCAGGAAGACGAACGTTTAACCACAGCATCCTCCAGCCATTATCACTGTGTTCTAACTTTTTCCTTTTTTTCTCCCATCTAGAGAACAGCTTCATTGAGAACGTCATTGAGTGTCTCCAGGACATAGTGAGCAGAGAAGATCTTCAGCTGCTGGTAACAGAAGATGAAGCCTGGGAGACAGTCTTGGCAGAGGCAGGATTGCCCAGGTCACCTCCATTCGACACCCCAACAATGCCACCCAGGGCTGGGCTGCCTTTCTCAGTACATACGGTCCTCCTCCGGGCAACTTTCTGTGGTTGGGCTTGAGGGTGCTTTTCCCCAACCATCCCTGTGACATGTTTTACCCATGTCACTCCCTGGCAGTGAATGGCCTTAGGTCAAAGGGACATGGTGACCTCATGAGACAGGATCCCTTCTGCCATCTGCTAGTTATGTGAACTTTACAAGTTACTTCACCACTTTCCACCTTAGTTTCTTCCTTTAGTTTGATTGTAATAAAAATAAGATAATGCAAATAAAATGCTCATGCAGCTGACACATATTAGGTACTCAGAGGAAGTTAGTTTTTAAAAGACCAGGTGGTAAGAGAACAGAGCTAAGGGTCTTCTCCTGGGAGAAGGGAGCCAGAAGGACTTGCTTTTAAACAAGACAGAAAAATCTAGACACATGACCAACTTATGTTCCATGAATTCTTCCTTGGGTCATTTTTCGCCCCCTCTGAGAAGCTGTACAAACACAGCAGGCTCTTTCTGTGGCCCAGGAGGCAGAGATACCAGTGTGAAGTTGCACAGAGCTGGGTGAGACCCTGGCTGTCTCTACCAGTCTCAGGGCTCCAGGCTTGTGCCTTGGAGACTTGGATTGTCATGTGTCCAATGGGAACAGGAAGGCTGAGGCCTCAAGGCTGGGACCATAATAAGGCAAGGGAAGGGCTAAAGGCTCAGAGCATAGGAAGGTCGTGGGCCCAGCAGAGCACAAGTCAGTAGGAGAAACTCTTTGCTCCCTCTTTTCGTCATTCATCCCTGATGGTCACTGAGGGCTGGGTTTGGTTGCTTGGTCCATACCCTACTGGGCTCTGAACAGTTCTCAGCTACCCTGGGGGACCCTCTTCAACGTAGAGTAGCCTGTGATGAATGGGCAGGTAGTGTACCTTAGTGACAACTTCCATCGTCAGGACAGCAGGCTGCCTATTTTGTGTAATGTGAGAGCGTCTGAGGACACTCAAAAGTCCTTACTGCAGATGAAAATATGTCCAGTGATGTCGTATTCAAATGAAGGTCTGCTCAGACTTAATGATTTATGACAGCTGGGTTTCAGTGTCTCATGAGTTTTTGCACATGGCCTTGGCTGCACACAGGTGAAGCTGTCTCCACTCAGGTGTCTTCAGAGGGCTGACATCCAATAAGACCCTGAAGGTTGAGGTGCAGGTTGTGGGTCAGGAGGCAGCAATGTGAGGGGAGTCAGGGCAGAGCCAGGTCTAACAGCCAGGTCTCCTGCTTCCCCGCAACTGGGGCAGCACTGACCTTCCACCCAGAAGGACAAAGATCATTGGGCATTGGAAGAGAGCAGACAACAAACTTCGAGCTTCTTTGTGGCTCTAAGGATTTATTACTTACATTTTAAGTGCCCAGTATCAAACAAAGCAAAGTCTGAGATGCAGACCAAAGACTATCCTTATATATTTGTTTGTTTGTTTTTACTGCCTGTAGTACTAGGGATTGAATCTAGGGCTCTTGCACGGAGCTACATTTCAATCTTTTTTTTTTTTTTTTTTTTTTTTTTTTTTTTTTTTTGCTAAGACAGGGTCTCAATAAGTCACTAAGTTTCCAGCCTGGACTTGAACGTGTGATTCTCTTTTTTCAGCCTCACAGAGTGCTAGGATTGCATTATGCACCCCGATACCCAGATTCTACCCTTACTTTTGACACTAATTGCAAACTCCAGAAATTCCCAAAACTGAATCCAGGTTTTCTAATTCACTAAGGGGACTCTGAGCTTACTGAAGATGCCTTTTACACAGTTAGGATTTATTACTGGGAAAGAGCACAGCTTCAAATCAGCCAAAGGAAGTGATGCACGGGACTGAGTTTAGAAGGGTTGCAAAATAAAGCATCCATTGCTCTCAGGACACAGTGCATCGCAGTAGTTATATCGGACAGTTCACGCCAGGGTTTTCAAGCATGGGCCTCACCCTCTGAAAAATTCTTCATTCTGAGACAAGTCAGAGCAGCAAGGAAGACTTCAGTCAGGACAGCTGCACTGGAAAGACGGATGAGGAGCAAGTCTGGACACAGTAAGGACAGCTGGAGAGTAGCCACCAACAAGCAGAGAGCAAATTATTAACAGGAACATCAGGATGAGGGGAATTTGTGACAGTGACTTCATGGGGCTCTTCCCGAAGCAGGTCAGGGACAAATACCGCGGAAGTCTGATGAGCACCTGGTCAGGTATCAGGGTGGCTGCTTCTCACTGTCCTGACGGGAAGGATTTGTTCTAAACATGGTTAATTCAGGGCCAGGAGACACAAGATGGTCCTGCAAGTCCAAGGTCAATGCCCAGTTGAGAAAACGTTAAGAAGAGCTTAAGTACATTGTGGTCAAGGGAAGAGGTCTTTTCAACTCGAGCCTTTTCCTGGAAGTTCTTTGGGGGCTGGATCGCATACTACCCTCACTGGTGACCTGGGGTCTCCCTCCCACACCAGAGTTCAGCGCCTTTGCTGTCCCCTTAATCTGGATGTGAGAAATGATCCTAAAGCCCCATCACACACCATTTTGCTACTGTTGAGGACCCATCATGGGAAATACTTGGGACCACCAATCTTTTGAGTTCTGAATTTTTTTTCTGATTTTCCAATTTTTGTAGATACACAGATAACATCATGGGGATGACATCCAAGTTCAGACAGTAAATTCATGTGTGTTTCTTTATAACTTACACATGTTCTGTAAAGTTAACATTAAGACAATATTTTTAGCATTTTTTTCCACTGTGACCCATCTCAGTCAGGTGTGGAACTTTCCACTTGTGTCATCTTAACAGAGATCAGAGGGTTTCATTTTGGTACAGTTCAAATTTAGGATTTTTGGATTAGGGATGCTGAATTTGTGCGGTATTATTGCCCAAATCCCCAGGCAAACAAAGGCATTCCTAGAAGGGCTGTAACAGATCAATTCCCAGTAGCTGAGGCCAAACAGAACACATTTTGGATAAGATTAATCATTCACTCTATACTAATGGGCTGTGAATTTAGGTCTCACCAATTCCACGTCTCTTTTTTTCACCTACAGAACACCTACTCTGCAAATATCATGGTAGTCATGGCATGGATTTGAGTGAGGAGGCATCTTTCCCAAATGCTTTCCACTAAAGAGATCTTCTGATGACTTTTACTCATTGCCCTCTTATTGAACAAGAACGACAGAGCATTAGGATGTCCAAAATATGTTCACCATTGAAGGAAAAATTCTGTACACTTGCATGTGCAATTCTTTTCTATTGGATTAATAGTTAAAGCTCTGTGATTGTATACAACTCTAGAACTCATTTTACAGATAAAGGAATTATGTTTCTTAATCTCCTGAACTTTGCTGTTACAGGGATGAGGCTGACACTCTCCGTGAAGCTCTGAAGGGGCTTACAGGTGACATGGACAAGGTGGACGAAGAGAGGCAGCAAGAAGGCCAGCATGCTAGAGAGAGGTTTTTGGACTTGTTTCCTCAACTGAAAATGGAGCTCATGGAGGACATAAGAAAGCTCCGTGCTCTTGCAGGCCACGCTAACAAGGTGCACTGGAACTACACGCTCACTACTGTGCTGGGCATTCCCAGTGCCACTGCCTCTGATATCTTGACCCTCCTTGACCTGGTTCTAGCATCCTTCACAGCAAGGGGCCATCCAGCACCCTCAGGACCAGGTGACAAGCCAAGAGCCAGAGGCAGTGTAGTTGATTTGTCCTCTGTCCCGGTACAGCATTCACGCACACCGCCAGATCAAGAGGAAGCCCGAGATTTGATGTCAGCCATTGTGGAAAAACTGACAAGGTTTACAGAGTCTGTGGGTCGCTTCCCACCCAAAGTATTTTCCCCAACTGAAAACTGGAACCAGTTCCTGAAAGGCATCGGAAAGAATATCAGTGCTATCAAGCTGGCCAACAGTGACCTTGAATTAACAAACAAGGTCAAAGTGGCCATAAAGATGGAGAATATCATGGTCCAAGGTGGTACAGGGGTAGTACAGTCAACCTTAGGACACACTGCTACGGTGATAAGCAGAGAAACCAAGATATTTTGTACAGCCACTGGAGCTGTCTTCTTGGGGCTAGACCTGTACAACCTTGTACAGGGCTCTGCGCACCTGAAGGAGGGGGAAAAGTCAGTGTTGGGTGACGCACTGCGGGAGCAGGCTCGGGAGCTGGAGAGCACATTGGAGCACCTCGGCCAGGCCTATGAGCATTTGAAGTCAGGCTCAGATGAGTAACTCCAGAAACACCCAGGTCAGGGAAGGTGTGCTACGCAAAGATGTGGTCAGAGAGGCAGTTTATTAGAAGGGAAGGAGGGTGAGGTCAAGGGCATGAACCTGAGTGTCAAGGAGTTCGATATTTTCCTGACTGAACACAGCAAAGGAGGGATGAACGCAGAAAGCGAGCAGGTCAAAGAGAAGGGAGGAAACAGAGCCTGAAACAAGTGACAAGAAGAGAATGGTAAGTGTAGGAAATGTTTTTTTAAACATTGAAGTGTAGGAAAAGTTTTTTAAAAAGTTGACCTGGGAGTGGGGACAAAACCCAATTCAAATAGAGTATTTTGGACTAAAGAATACGTGGGGAACTGCACAGAGGCGGGTATAGGAATAAACAATGGAGACAGAAAAACTAAAGAGTTGAAAATGGCAGGAAGTCAGTGTTCAAACCACTAAATATAAGGGAGGAAATAGCAGCTACACTAGAGAACACAACCACGGCTGAGGTCCCAGCAACAAGAAAGCCTGTCGCTCACATTCTCTAGCCCTGCCCTCCCACCGTCCTTGTCTCAGTCAGACGTTGACTTCCAGATGACGGTGGTGATGGAGGTCGTGGTGGTGACAGTAACAGTGATGACTGTTGATGATGGCAGCTGAAATGGAACACAAAGCAAGTCGCCATCTCTTTTTGGGGCCAGTGTGCCAAGAGGGATCTATAAAAATCCCCACTGAAACTCCAAATGCTGTGTTGGGAGAAAGGAAGTTGATCCGGGAGTGAGGACAAAACCCAATTCACAGAAAAGATTAAGGGACTCGGTGGTATGTAAATGTCAACCACTTTGTGGTCAAGAGCTATGGCCTTTCTGAACCTGGCTGTCCATCCGTTGGGGGGCATGTTGGACAAGATGGTATCTCAGATCCATCTGGCTTTTCTTGTATATGTTCTACAGACTTTGGTGCAATAAATATTCACTAGTTATGCTGGGGAAAATGAGTGTAAAGAATCAAAGTTTATAAACAAAAGCTGCTATGTGACCAAAGAAAAAAGCCAAGAGATTCGGGATTACACAGAGTGTAATTTTTACTGGGAAACTTTGCATGGAAGCCTGGTAAAGGGCAGGCCACAAAGTGAGTGGGCCCTGTAACGTGGGTGAGAGGGAGGGTCTCAGGACGAAAGTAAATTCATCAAAGCTGGAATGTGCCTGGTTTATCTCCTGTCCACATAAAGCACATCAGACACATTCCTGATATCTCACATCACTTCAGTGGTTGTGATTGTCTATGGCATGATGGGAAATGATGCGGGAGAAAGGACATGGTTACTCGGGAACAATCATGTCAATCCTATCTCAAGATGCTGGTTGGGTCATGGTGGATCCCTACACCGACACACAGCCCTGTTGAGCTGACCGACTGCTTCACCTGGGCTCCAGATACCTGACTTCCTTTCCTCATGTCCTTCTCCAAGGGTCTCAGAGCCTGTCCTTCTCCAAGGGTCTCAAGCCCAGGTCCTCCATTGCCTTACCCACTGCACCCCTGCTCTCCCAGCCAATCATTTCCATCAGACTCTGGTACCTGCAGCCCACCTGGACACCTGAGTGACGTGCATCGTGCCTGTCTGGGGCTGAGCACAGGTGCATTGCTCATTCAGCAGTAGGGGACCCAGGACTGACAGGGGAGGCGCATGAGCTGGACTGAGATCAAAAGGGCCTCCGTGCAGATGGTAGAGAGGATCAGAAGTAGAGTAATGGAGAAAGACACCCAGACAGCAAGCACCCTCATTTAGATGCCAGTGTCACCCTTTCCCTAGACTCATGGAGGAGCATCTGTGTCACACCGCCCCTTCACTTGTCCCTGGCCATTCTCCACACTGGGCTAGACTGGCCGTTATGAATAGAGAGTTGATTATGCTCTTGTGTGCAATATCACAACAGACCTTGAAGAAATTCTCCTCATATGCAGAACAATTTTTTTTAAAAAAACAAAACAGACTACAAACAACTGGTGAGCCTGACAGAATGAACACCACCGTGTACTGCCCATGTTTAAACATTAATAATTTCTGACCCAGTCATTCTATTTCTCCACATAGAAAATAATCTCAAATACGAGCAAAGTTTCATACCTAAGGAAAATGTTCATTGTGCTATTAACTACATAAAGAATTTGGAAAAAAACCTAAGGCCCAACAGTTAGGGGAGGGTAACAGAGGGGACTGGCCAGCCCATAGCAAAACCAAGTTCAGTGTCAGGCAGGACTCCAGGCCCAGACGAGATGAAGGATCTTGCAGAAGCAAGGAGGTACAGGAAGGCGCTGAAAATCAGAAGGGGAAGGGGCTTTAATAAATTTAGTTAGAGAGAAACGGGCACAGTGTACAAGATGTAGGATTTGGAATGAAGAGTCACAAAAAACATGTATACATGAGTAAATACTTCTGTGTATTTAAGGGAGTAGAGCATAGTCATCAGAAACGTGGGATTTGGATCAGAAAGACTTGGGATCAACTTCTGGCACTGGCACCTCTGTGAAAACTTAGGCACGTTACCTGAGGTGGGGAGATTCAAGGCTTTAAAATGGCAGCCACGAAGGTATTCACCCCGTGGAGTGTGTGTCCTCATGAAATGTGGGAGATGTCTGCCCATCACAGACCCTCAATAAATACATGCTGTTATCACTGATGGTTCCCAAGCCCAGGGTTCTATTTTCTACTGCCTGCCTCCGTAAGAGGTTCACTTTCAAGCCCTAGCGATGTGTGAAATAGTGTGTGGGGGATCACACATTTTGTTGGAGGCCAATCATCTTCCTGAAGAGCATGAGTGGGTTTGGCTGAGAAGACCTGGGACTGGGGTCTGAGATTGCTCCTCGAACTGGGAGAACAGGAGGGGAGGGCAGTCTCTCAGAAACTGTGACTTTCAGTTTCCATTTCCCTTTAGGGTGTGTCTGTCAGGAGGCTGCATCTGCTCAGTATGCAGCTGGAGACCTGAGGACCGGATCCACACAGCTCCGGGCGGCTGAGTCGAGTCCAAACGCAGCCAGAGAGCATTTCTTGGTAAGTTACGGGATCCCCCATCTCCTCATCCTCACAGCAACCCTGTCAGAGAAGGATAAGGGTCTGGATTTGGGCCCAGATTTGAGTCTGACTGCTCCCCTCCCCTTGTATCCTAGCAGAAGAGAGGGCGAGGGATTGCTCAGCTGGAACGCGAAGCTTTCTGTGGCGCGAATCAGGTGTGGGGCTTCCCGAATCAAGGGCAGGTGCCCTCGAGGGAGGGTGGACATAGGGGTGGTCACATCTTTAAGAAATGTTGAAGAATCAAAGGAAGTGGAGAAGGGCCTGGAGTGCAGAGCCCACTTGTCCTGTGGCCTGGTCAATCAGAGGTCGGCCTCAGGAGCAAAGGGTTTCTTTGGAGAAACAAGGGTTGGTTTGTGTATTTTTCCAGCTGTCTTTGAACATCTGCACTGTTCCAGGACCTGCAGGGAAACTGAGGCCCTGGAAGCCAAATGGCTTGCCTGGGGTGCCCGGAAGTCAACGGAATGTGTACATAGAGTGCCTGCACCTGCTATTCCTCGATGGCCCTCTGCGTGGCCTAAGAGGGAGGGAAGGAGGCAGAGCCTGTCCTGTGTGTTGGGATGGGACGCGTCAGGCTACACCTTATCAGGGTCCAGGGAGAGGATAATAGGATGAGGACACAGCCACATAGAAGCAATAGAAGCCATGCGTGGGACAGATGGGAAGGACTGTACTGAAGATTACCTGGGCTGGGGACGTCTGTGTCCATTAATGATTACAGCATGTATTCATTGAGGGTCTGTGATGGGCAGGCACGGAAACTCATAGCAACTGTGGATAAGTAAATCTCACTTTTGCACTTTCATCCTGGCCTCCACTCTGCCCACCAAGGGCTGGGTGCTGCTGGGCAAATCGCTTCTCCTCCCAAGCTTCTACTTTTTCTCCTGGGAGATAGAGTCAGGGTCCCCTGCCCTGCTAAGCCCCCAGCTGGCTACTGCCCCTGTTTGCAGCGAGGTGGATGCAATGCCGTGAGCGGAGACAGCAAGCATTGTGACCCCAGAGGCCAGAGGGCAGGGAACAGGAAACCTGTGCAGGCTTCTCGGACCAGGTGATGCTCAGCGGGGAGAGTGTGGGCCTATCTACCACACGCCGGCATTGCTGAGTGTTGGTTATGAAAGTGGGGACAATTACACTTCAAATATTGGCAGCCAGGTGAAATTTAAATCTCACATAAGCCAACACATGCGCGTGTACATAGATACACACACTCACACATGCGCTCACGCGCACACACACACACACATTCTCATGCAAATTCACACTAGCTGTCCAGACTCAACTCCATGGACCTGAGTGTTTTCAGCCTCCATCATACAGAACTCCAAGAGTGTCTCATTACCTGCCACTTTTTTCTGTTCTCTGTTCTGTTTAAGGGTGCCACAGGTATCTGTAGTAGGCTCTAATCTATGCTCCCTTGTGGTTGGACAGGAAGTTATTTCTGTCCTTTTTAGTGTTAAAAAACAAAAAGCCTTTCTGAACACCACCCTCACTCACACCCTGCTCACCTTTTTCCCTTGCACTTTTACTCCGCTGACTCTGGGGGAGAGACCTGGGCTGACTTGCTGGGCTGACACCTGCAGCACGGTTTAAAGTTGGACAGACATTTCTGATCATATTTATGAACTCAGAAACTGTTACAGCCTCCTCGTCAGTGCAGCTGAGTGTGCTCATAGCAGGCCAGCCCAGGACGTGCTGCAGATTTTGAGGCTGTTCAATCTGCAAGTTTTAAATGTTTCTTTGTGATTCTGCATTGTGGACCTGCAGAGGAGCAGCGGGGGCTGTTAGGAAATGACCTCCACTTTCTTTCCTGAAATGCCCTGGCTTCTTAAGTAAGCAGGAAAGGTGTGGTGGGGAAGTGCGCTGAGATCTGGCCCTGGCCTCCCCCGGGAATGGGGGGCTTTGGAACACTTAAAGCCTGCCACTCTTCAGATTGCTGTGGGCCCCTTGATTTTGAAATTCTCTCTTTTTATTTCTCCTCACCTTAAAATATTAAGGCTGATGGAAGGAGACACAAAGAGATCAACAGAGACTTTAAAAAATCTGATAAAATCCTCACGAATAATTGACAGTGAGGTAACTTGTGTGATCTCAGTCTTAGTCCCATTGTTCTCTACCAGAAAGAGGCAGATCGTGGAGACAGATGAGAAAATCAAATGAAATTACTCAGCAGAGAGGGAAGAGAAGGTAGGCTGTGTCCTCAGAGGCTGGGGCTCCTATGTCTGGTAAATACCTCCCACACCCTGGGTTTGGGAATCAGGCTGGACTGGAAGGATGGAGGATGCCTTGGATGGTCCTAGGTGCCACATACATGAGATAACAAGAGGGCCTTGCTGGGAGGCACCACATCCACTGCGAGACAGATGCCCGTGGAACATGACATCCATGAGACCCAGGAGTCCCCACATTCCAGGGTGCCTGGGAGGGCTAGGGGCAGCCAGCAGGGGGGAGGATGCATTTGCACCAGGTGTCTCCGAAAGGGGGAGTTGGGGAGGTCAATCTAGGGGCAGGAGAAGCTCCAGTGAACTCTGGAGGCTGAAGGTGCAGATCATAGTCAAGAAAGTGGATTAGAACCAAGGTGCATGGGAGGCAGGGAGGGTTAAAGAAAGATGGGGCTACAGCAGACGGAAGGGCCAGGATGCTGGGTTAGGGGATCAAATGTCACACTGCCAGCTCAGTAAAGATTCCTCAGGTGGAGCAAGCTCGATTAATCCTCTTTCCATGCCCAAGGAGCATGCACTGCAGCCACAGAAAGGGGGAAACTATGTGAACCTTTACCTGCTTCCTGTGGAGAGCTGACCACAGCTGCAAGGGAAGGAAGGGTTCACTTCCCAGGCTGTGTGAGTGGCCAGGAGCAGGGCCAGGCAGACACAGTCTGGGCTTCGGTCCAGCACCTCCTTTTTCCTCTAGATAACAGCCTTTCCTGGAGTTGAGACACTGGGAGGCTCAGCTGCGATGACCGATTCACAGTACCCAGCTGAGGTCCTGGACAGTGCCCGAGTGACTGAGGAAGGGAGAGACCCAGAGCACAAACTCATTCACAAATGTGTGAGGTCTCCAAGATCCACTACTTCTCCCTGTCCATCCTTCCCGCTCTCTGAATGGCTCATGATTTTCATGGCCCATAATCACAGATGCTGTCCTGTTTCTGAAGCCATGCAGTGTTTAAACCAGGAAAGGGAGGGGGCAGTCACCGCTCCTATCACTACTGTCCTTTACAGAAACACACCACCATCAGGCTCCAGCAGACTTGCTTTTGTGTCTCACTGGTCAAGATTGAGTTATGCAGTCACTGCTGGTGTCCAGATGACCCAGAAATCAGAACTTGATGTCCTGCGGCCAAGAGGAGAAGCAACCAGGGAGGGAAAGTGGGAAAAGAGTGGCTTTTTCACTGGGCAGGCAGCCAGATATCAGGGTACACGGAGCTACTATGTTGAGATAATATCAGAGGGCAAAAACCATGGCCTGTAGAGGAATCTGCTTGGATATGACCTGAGCTTCTGCGGTAGAACTTGCTGGTAGCTCTGCCCACCTTTGGTGGACCTGGGTCACCTTGGGTGATCTCAGAGCTGCTTGGCTTATTCTGTCCTCATCACATGGCAGAAGCTATACACGTCTATGCAGGCAGTGTCCTCCAGCCCAGACACTCCCATGGTCAGTGGAGCAGGTGGAGTTGGTTGACCCTCAGTAAGGGGGAAGTCACACAGTGGGGATTCACAGCCCTCAGGAAGGTGGCTCTAGGAAGAACCCATTGTAGGACTGGGGCTCCGGGTCAATGCTGTGGAAGAGGGTCTGGATGGGGGGCTGCAGAAACTGAGGGGCAGTTGTACTCACGGGGATCTCAATGAACCTACCTGTAGAGGGAGATCAGAAAGAGATTATAGGTACACTTGGTAAAGAAATAAAAGAAATGCTTGTAGCCAAGGCAAGGTGCCTCAGTAAATTTCTGTGGCTATAACAAAATGCCCCAGAGGGAATTATTTTAATGAATAGAAGTGTATTTAACTCAAGGACCCGGAGGCTGGGAATTCTAAGAGCATGGCACACATATGTTTTTTAGCAGAACATTCATCTGTATCGTTGCCACAGAGGAAGCATACATAACAGAGGGAAAATTTTATGTGAGGAGAATGCTCTCCGCATGATTATTTACATGAAGGATGAGAAACAACTTAAGGTACAGCAGTGAGGGAAGAAAAGCAGAGGAGACTGGGCAACCCACAGCAGGGCCAGGGGAGGATGGGACCTAAGACCTTTGTAGGATGAAGGACATTGCTAAAGCTCAAAGGCTGTGGGCTTTAGGAAAACACAGAGAGCAATGGTAAACTTCCCAAGACAGGGACTTGGGCACTGGGTACAAGACGTGAATACAAAATGAGAAGAGTCATTAATAATGAGCCTATAACACATAAAAATATTTTGTGTATTCAAGGGAGTGGAGTATGATCATAGGAAACATGGGGTTTGGTCAGAAGGTGATGGGTTCAAGTCCTGGCCCCAGCACTTCTGTAAATATGGATACCTTACCTGTCACCCATAGTGGCTCTATCTACTTTAAGAGGGAACATAGGTTCTCACTCCGCGGAGTGTGTATAATCCTGTAATGAGTGACGTGTAAGCAGCCTGCCTTTCATCGACATTGCACAAGTACTAGCCATTTATGCAAAGACGTTCCCTCCCCAGGTACTTGCCAGAACATTCCTTCCCTGGGTGGACTTTATTGTTTCTGTATAGTTATGTCTCACCCCATTGTCTTCTCCCTGTGCTCTCACAGGACACAAGGCCTCTGCCTTGACTGGGGTGAGGGGAGAGGGAGCTCGAGCTCAATGACAGCCTTTTGTTAGATGGGAGTTGCAGACTCAGTGGACAGAGAAGACCGGCCGAAGACCGTGGTGGCCTTCGCTGCCATCTGAGGGAATTTCAGTCCCCGTGGCTGCTCACTGTTTCCTCAGCTGCCTCCCTTTCCATCTCACAGTCGTGTCCTCCTCCCTTCCGGCGTGGACAGCCTGGCACGTCATAAGGAAATCCTCTCAGAGACACTGCTGCGGAACGATGTCCCACGCACTCTCCCCAGGTACGTGTGTTTCCTCTTTGGCAGGTTCCCGCTGCTGACCTAAAAGTGAAGTGGCAGCTCCGAGGCTGAGCTGTTCTGTGGGAAAGTCAAACACAGAGAAAGGGGAGCCCAAAGTGGGCCCCTGGGTCCACTGACCCCGAGTGTGGGTGCCCTGCTTCCAGCACCCTGCTCCTGCCTTTCCTTGGGGCCCTGACTTTCCTTAGGGCCCTGCC